ATCAGTAAAGTAACGGGATTACTTTTTTGGGGAGGTAATCAGTAATTAGTTACTGATTACTTTTTTCAAGTAACTTGACCAACACTGGTTGTGTCCCAAATTACTAATCCTGATTCATTTTTTATAGTAAGAAGGTAAAATTTTCAGACGTTCAAACATCCAACCAGCCCTTTTTCTTGCACTTACATACATTTATGTCAGTATTATTTATAATAGTGATAAGACGCCTGTATTTTTCATGCATTATGTGATGAACAGCAGGTCCTCCTGCACATTTGCTGAGACTCTGAATCACGAGGTATTGACATCTTTTCTTAAAAACTGATGCTTGGGTGAATGAGCACTTCGAGACGTGCATTTCCTCCATCCTTGCACTTCTTCCTCATTTCCTTCCTCGCATCCCCTGCTGGGCGAAGCCGAGATTTGAGGAAGAGACGAGTGAGGGAAGCTAGAGGGCCCATTAGCCAAATGAAATGCAGCTTAAGCTGTACACACCTCGAAAGATGCCACAAAATGAGCAAGAGAGCGAGGAAGCTGTCAATAAAACCGGAGGTGTATACACCCAAACAGTAATGAGGTCTGTTCAGGCAGAAAAGTGGCAACACCTGTGTGGGTGGACCACAGACCTCTTTGACAGCATACTTGTCACAACAGGAAAAGCACAAGTGTACTAATGACATTAACAATGGCTCTGTTCTATTTAGGTCTCCTAGTAAGCCATGACAGTATGACACAAACACACCCCACACACAATACCAGCAGCCAGTCAGTAAGCAGCCAAATGAAATTCAGCCATTATTTATTCTATTATGTACGTCTGTTCTTTTCCAAGTTAACATTTCCACTGAGATTAAACTTGGTTCTCTAGCAGATAAAAGCGTAAGTCCTCACAGACAGCGTGACCTGGTTGTGACTGCTAGAGACCAAAGAGAGAGAGAGAGTGCGTGTGTGAAACTAGTGTTATTTTGAGATCACATTCAGGTGTTTCTAACCATACCCCCACATATTCAGACACTGTTTAACCCCAGCGTGCTTTCCTGTTCAGGCTCACATCGCACACTTTGAACACAGAAACTCACAGCAGACACTCGAGCCCGTACACCTCAATTGTATTCAGCCGCACAGGCCTCGTGTTCACCGTCCAATGACTTTTATTCAAATGGAGACAAAAGGGGTCTTGCCCTTTATCTGATATTTTTTTTCCAACTTCCCACTCAAGTGACATGCCAAAGTGGGAGAATATAAATGGCTCATATAATAGCTATTCTCAGCACATTGTACTCCTTTGGCAGCTGGATGAGCGGGGCTCTGCATGCAAAATAATATACCCATACTGTGCTGACGAACATTTAATACTTCTTCAAAACGCTTACTTAGATAAAAGGAGCCCGTCACAGAAATACGACTCCATTTGTAAAAACAGCTGTTTTAATGTCATTTTTGAATCTTGAGGGCACTTTCTGAAGCCTAAAAGAAATCTGATCTCAGTTTGTATTTGGAAACAGAATACCGATGCAAACTTTGACAGGAAAATGTCATTCTGGTTGCACAAATGCCATAAGTAATTCATTAACTTGGAACTTCTACTAAATGAATTCTTGCAAATTAAACCGTGTGATCTCCGCTTACCTCTTTTTACGCTGTGGTTACATTTGATGCAGTCTGTGGGGCCAGAGGAGCACGCTCCTCTGTTAATTGCTGGAATCACACTGGTGTAAGCAGAGTAGCCGGTGATCCTGCAGGGCTCTCCGTAGCACGGTTTCACTGAGGTGCAGCAGTACACTGGATGGCTAATCCCTGAGGGTTGGGGACCCGTGCTGGGGAGCAGCTTCGGCCTCTTGCTGCCGCTTGGGCATAAAGCGAGGGGTGATATGGTGGAGGCGGAGTTGTCCGGGTGGCTGAAATGGACATAGTAGCCTGGAAAACAGGTGTACGTGTGCGGGCTGATGGTTATGGCTGCCGGGTGGCCGACAGAATGGTGGTGGTGATGGTGGTGGTGATGATGATGGTGGTGGTGGAACACCTCAGACAGTGAGCCGTCCTCTGGTTCCTTGAAGGTTTTGTCATCCAGGAAGAGGGCCAGCCTGTGAAAGTACTCGACACATCTCTCCTGGGAGCAGCAGTAACAGGAAGACACCTCCGTCTCCACCTGCTCCTCTTTGATTGTTTTTAAGGAGAATCCCAGAGAAGAGCCACAGTGGAGAGGATGCTTGACACACTCCTGCCCCCCTGTGGCACCCTTCCACTCCGGATCCAAAGTCTCCGTCTTACACAAACTGCAGCATTCCTGGATGGCGGGGCTCACCTGGGAATGGACTGGATCTTCTGTGCCCTGTTTTCTGTGCTTTAGTTGCCCCTCGTGTTTGGGATGTGTTCTTCGTTTGGTGTGTGTTGTTCCTTTGCACACAGGCTTACCACTCATTCCATCCTGAGTCGTAGCTGCAGCTTCACTTCTACTCCCTGGCTTGGACTCCACCTTCCTTTGCCGTTTGGCCCCATACGGGGCACTGGTGAGTTTGAGCAGCGTTGCAGCGGTGAGGCCTGCTTGACGCCGAGGTGTCGGTGCAAGCAAACTCAACCAGTCGATGTTCTGAGCCTCAGCTGTGGAACGCTTTTGTTTTTTCGGTCTCTCTTTTTGAACTGCTTTCCCTTCCAAAGAACCTTTTTTGGTTTTCTGATCTCCGTGTTCGGTTTTAGTGAGCTCTTTCGCTGGCTCTTCGTTGGATGGCTGACATTTCTTTGCGTTATTCGCCATGAGTGAGTCGTCTTTGTAGAGCAGCAAGCTGTTGACAGCCTCAGCATTAAGAGAAGCCATTCTCCTTCTGCGGGGCTCAAACATAGCTGAGGGCATCATGAGTAAGGCGTCAGATTGGTTGCTTTTTGGTTCCAGTGCTTGCTGATTAGCGGCAGAGGTTTTCTTGAGTCTATGTTTGGTCCCTCTTTGGATGGAGTGTTCCTTCTTTTTAACTTTTACACTCCTTTTCTTCCCAGCTTTTAGTGCATTCTTCTCTTTACCAGCAGCTCCTTTCTCCTCCAGACGGGTGAGCAACACGCAACAGTCCAACGCATCTCCATCACTCACGGCTAGTTTCTTCTTTTTATTTCGGTGCAAGTCTTTCTTGTCCCTCTTTTTCTTCCTCTTCAGCTCAATCACCCCCCCTCTCCCTTTCTTCACACCATCCTGCTTTTCCTTACTTCCCCTTTCCTTCTTGGGCTTCCCGCATTTCGCCGTCTGGCACCGCTGAGCTTTCACCATATTCTCAGCGTCTGGGAGCAGATTCACTAAACTGTCTTCATCCACGGGTTTCTGATTGGTGGAGGGTTTCAGCTCAGACTGGGCTTTCAGTGGATATCATCATGGATCATCATCTGGGTCCATATGGCTCTCTGAGAAGACACAGATCAGACATTCAACATTAAAGCTTAAGCCACACACCGATGTTACTCATGCAGAACCTGAAAGTGACTTAATGTAACAGACAGGATCTTCTGATGCATTATGTAGCAACCAGTTTTACTCCGTTTGCTGTCAATTATCCACATCCACAGAGAATAGGAGCACTTAGGAAACCCCTGTCCTTAACATGCAAATACGCTTCATGCTCAAGACAGAGGATCAGACACCAAAAGCACATCACACGCTGCACACACATTATGCATTCAGACTGCTCTCCCTTTTTTTTTTTTAGATGCATTTTAGATTTCATTTTTCTCCTTTTACAGTATCTTGATCACAGCACGCTGATAACCACAACATTAAGACCACTAAAATTAAGTATCATTAATTAATACACTGTTAAGCTGAGAAACTTTGGGTCCAGCCATTCATGTGAATCTTACTTTGACACGTACCGCCTACCTAAACCTGTTCTTGATTGTTAACTTATTGTTCCAGAGCAACAGGTGTGCTGTTGCCATCACACCTGTAGTATGGGAACAACACACCTCGACAGCAGTGGTTTTCCTCTGGCTGAACAATGCGGCCAGCCCCCCCACAAAACACAGGAACACAACAAAAATGCTGCAAAAGCTGTCACTGTGGTATCTGTGACACGATGCGCAGGATCATGACAACAGTGAGAAAGGGCACACAGCCAACTCTTCACATAAAATGCTCATATAGATAAATCAGCGTCCTTTGCAGTAAATGCACGCATACTTACTTAGTGTCTTTTAATTTTTTTTACTCTCACACAGCACTTTATTCTATGCCTGGCGTACATCCATCCATCCATGGAGTTCAGTTCCTTGGCCAAAGCACAGATTGCAGTGAGGACTGGAACCTCCTGGAATTGAACTGTAGATCTTCTGATCAGTAGATGACCTGCTTTGCCTCCTGAGCTGGCACTTCAACATTTAGGTTTAATATTGAGAAGGGCTGAATTTTGACCTAACCCACCATCTTGTCCTAAATAAGATGCACAAAAAGGACAAGAGGTGGTTGTAGCTCAGGAGGTAGAGCAGATCATCTACAAATCGGAAGGTTTGTGGTTTGATCCCTGGCTGCTCCTGCCTGCATGCCAAAAATCCTTGGGCAAGATCCGAACCCTAAGCTGCTCCCTGATGCATCCATCACAATGTGAATGTTACACAGAAAACACATAAGCACTGAAAAAGAACTGTTTGTATAAATGAGGGAGGAAGTGTAAAGTGTTTTGAGAACTCGGTTAACATAGAAATGCCCTATTTAAAAACCAGTCCATTTGCCAAACTGACCCAAATGTCCTTTTTTAAAAAAAAACAAAAACAAAACAGGAAATAAAACTCTTGCCATTTACATTTACAGGAGTATCCTGGGCCAAGATAGGCAGCATTAGCCTAGCATGTTATATGGCAGGAGAAACCAGAGTGCCTGTAGAAAACCTGCAGAAGCACAGGAAGAAAAGAAAACTCCACACATAAGTGTTTGTCCTGGTTTGAACTTGTCAGCCAGGGTTTGAACCCGGGATCCTGTTGCTGTTAGGCAAGCACTGTGGCTAACCTCTGAGCCACAGTGCCATTTTTGGTCCCTTAACCTAAACAAGCAGCAAGCTGTGCAAAGCACAAAGCTCCCAAATATGATTTGAACTGCGGTCTCTTGGCAGACAAACCAGTGCCTTCTTCTTCCACTGCCTCCCCCACCAGCATTCTGATCTGGACTGTTTAAAGGAAGGCCGTTATCTCTCTGGATCCAATACTGCTGTGGCTGTTATGTTCAGGCACCAGTGCTAAAGGGCACCTTGTTCGTATCACTGTGGCCCCACTGCATCTGACTGAATGGCAGCATTTGATGCCCTGGGATGAGAATGCACTGGATGCTCCCAGACGACCCGTGTGTCCATGCCCTGATGGGTCTGAGCTGTTTTAGCCGCACAAGGGAGGCTTGCACAATATTACACAAGTTCTTTTAATGCTGTAGCTGATCAGTGTATGTTTAGTTTAATGTGCTGTGGCTTCCACGTTTCGGTTTTTGTTTTGATTCAAGTTTTAAAAGAGAACTGTTGGCTTTTGATCCTTTGAATTAAAAGACCATTTTGCCTTGAAGTCATATTGAAGCAGATTAATGACTCAAGCAAGTCACTGAGAGCTTGTTGGGTTGCAAGCACCCACTCACTGCTAAAACACAGAAGCCAAAAACCAGAAAAAAGGTGAGGCATTTGACTGATGCATTTAATATTTGATACGATGGATGCTCAGACACTCGCTTCTCATATTCTCATTTATAGTGTCAACGACACAACAAACTCTTTCAATTCACTGTAAGATATGAAATTAAGCAATGATTGTCTGACACTTAGAGGCACAAAACAAACAGTACCACAAACAAATGACTCATGAATCGATCCAGATTCTACAAAAAAAGAAAAGAAAGGGAAAAAAACTGGTGGCAGAAACACTTGTCACACAATAGCCTCTTCAGTTTCCATGTCAACAGGCTGATACCAAAGCAGCTCCAGCAACTTTAGAACAAACGATGCATAACAAGACTTACGGCCCTCCGTAACTCACGGCTTTCTGCTCCCTCAACGGGAAAAAACACCTCACTTAGGAAAAGCCTTTAGATATCCTGATGACTCAACTCCGGCGACCTTTATGTAATGACACTCGTGTGTGCAGCAGAAGGAGATGGATCGTGCTTCTTGCTGCAGCCCTGGAACACAATTATGCTACTTGACCTCCAAGGAGTAAGTCAACATGGGTCCTTTTATTATAAGTGACTCTCCAGCGAGAAAATCCCTGAGCTTTCACAAACACACACAAATGATCAAGTTCTGAGCACACTTCTTATTAATAGATTCAGTGTAAGTGTATGATATGAGCTAAGAGGCTAACGATAGTACATTTCAATCACTATATTTCAGCCAATCATGGAAGCCTATTTCATTTCCACACTAATAAAGGTCTGTTCAGTATTTAATGTGAGTCTAAAAAACTCTTCACTTCAAAACACTGCCAGGTTTCAGATTTAGGGTATATACATATAAATAGAGTAAATGTGGCATAAGTTGTTTTTTTACGATCTTAGGCACAGACATATGGGCAAAAGAAATAAAGGAAAATGACAAAAAATGTGCACAATTACTTTTAATGTTGAAGGAACTACTCATGTCATACACAACTACAAATCCCAGATTCCACAGCGACTTCGCAACTTCCCTTCTTCTTCTCAAATGTAATGCTTTGAATTTTTACTGTAGTATTTACATGGTTATTAACAGTGTTGTATGGTAATAGTTATTTAAATAATTTTTTTTGTACTGTGCATGTATAATTAATCACACCTCGAATGTCTTAACATTAGTGGGTCGAAACATTTTCCCAGGTCGTTTAAATTAAGGGTTGTAGGTAGAGTAGTTCTTTTCATGAAGAAATGCATTCTTGTTAAAAAAGGTTAATATCATGTAGACTGATGGTTTCTATAGGAGCACATGCCATCGTTTAACAATGTCTTAGGTCGCAGTAAGTCTGCTTTAGATGGTTAAAACATTATGGCTCATCATCAAACTCTCTATGGAGAATATGATATGATTTTTACGTCCAGAATGCCCCTGTTGAGACATTAATAATAATTTGAAATATGCATATTATCTCATTTACTTTAATGAAAAAAAAATCCTATAAATCACCAGAAAAAACAAAAAACCTTTCACCCTTTGAACACCGAGCAACAACCGCCTGCCATCCTTCTAAAGGCTACGATTGACAACAACTGATTGGAGCTGATGGTATTGTGAGACGCTCTTACAAGCCCACAGTAAGTGATGTTTATTATCTGTACTCATGTTGGCTTTCTATAAATCAAAGCGCATCACATCATGCTGTAATCTTTTTTGCCCGTTGTCCTGTTTTTAAAGTGAACCACTTAGGAGTTCCAACAGGGCTTTAATGGCTGCGATGGGGCCATTCAAGGAGAGTGTATGCGTGTGTGCGCCGGAGAGGGTTATGAGAAACAAAACAAGGATCTCATACACTGCACGCTATGAGCTATCTCTTTGAATTTTGCCTTTAATTATGGATTTAAATTTTTTAAATTTTACAATTAGGCAGCACAAGTCTAAAAAAAACAACTACATATAGGGCTGTGCTGTACAACATCGTACACGACATTGTGATATTGCTGTTATAGCAACGCCACACGTTCTTAGTGCGCATAATAATGAGACAAACCCGGGCATGCACCTAAAAAAGGCGAGCTACTTTAGCAACCTCCAACAAAGCACGGTGCTTTGCAAAATAAACAAGAACACTGTTCCTGCCGTAGGTGGAAACAACAAACTAGTTTTCCACTCGAGGCTGAAAACATCATCAACTATAACCGGGCTACAAAGGAGTCGATACTAGCAGCTGGTGATGTGCAACCCAAAAGTAAACAAATGACTCAAACCAAGCATCGCCGGCTGCTAGTTGCACTCCATATGGCAGGAAGAGCAAACGGTGGATGGAAATTACTGATGTGGTTACACAGTGGAAAATCAGTGCTTTAAGCAGCTGGTTAAAAAGTTAAGGTTAACTTAATATACTACAGTTTTAAGCAATTATTCTATATTTTTACTTAAAAATAGAATGAAAAAGGTAGCTGGGACACTTTTGTGCTTACATTTGACTTCTGCCATGTCACTGGATATACTGCTGTGCCACTACTATCACACTATAATGCTGATGCTGCTTCTGCTGGCACCTTGTTTCAGTAGATTCACACTTTGATTTAGGAGGTGTGCCATCAGTGACAGCAGCTCACTGGAAAAAAAGGAAAATCCCCCTTATTTACTTACACTGACTGCAAGCATCACTGAAATGTAGCTCGCTATTTTTTCTATATCATGAGAAATATCATTGCACATCATCTTGAAATATTTTAATATCATTTTAAGGCTGTATTGCTCTCAATAAATGGTGTAAAATAATAT